AGTTCGTAATGGCGCACCGTGGGAGTGGTGCGCCATTACTAGTTAACTAGTAATGGCGCACCACTCCCACGGTGCGCCATTACTAGTTTTGAAAAAAATAAAAAAAAATTGAATTTTTTTTGAAAAAAACTTAGTAATGGTGCACCAGTGGACAATGCGCCATTACTAGTTTTAACAAGTAATGGCACACCAGTGGACAGTGCACCATTACTAGTTTTAACTAGTAATGGCCCATTGTGCCATTACTAGTTTTAACTAGTAATGGCCCATTGTCCACTGGTGCGCCATTATTAACAAAAAAAATTCAAAACTAATAATGGCGCATGGTGGGTGTGGTGCGCCATTACTATGTCAACTAGTAATGGCGCATTATCCCATGGTGCACCATTAGTAACAATTTTTTTTTCAAAACTACTAATGGCGCACCACACACCATGTGCGCCATTAGTAATATATTACTAATGGCGCACCTGTATGTGGTGCGCCATTAGTGTCCATATTATCTATAGCCCTTTTCCTAGTAATTCCTCTCGTGGGGCTCTAGAGTAGGGACGATTTTCCCTTGGCTGGGAGTCGGTGAGCGATCTCCTTGGCCAGATATCGGGCCTTCCGTAGCGCCTTGATATCCTTCTTCTTGACGGAGGAGGCCATCCACTTACCCCCAGCTCCGGATCCGGACATCTTTGGAGTTCTTTCTCGGTAGAGGGAAAAGCTAAAAGCTTGGGCGCTGGAGCTCAGGGACGGAAGGACTGAGGAGGAGCTGAGGTGTGGGTGAAGGAAGGGAATCCTTATCCCCTTATAAAGGCCATGAATACCAAGTGTCTCCCCACTCACCTTAAACTCGCCTATTCCCAAGGGCCGTGCCAATGGCACGGTTGGGCCACCCACGCCCGTATTGATGAGAATCCCATAATAAGGGGGCACGATCTCTGATTCGACAAGACGTGCCAATGACAACCGCGTCTCAAAACATGGACGGCAGACGAAAAACCGTTCGAAATTGTGACCGGTCAGACGTGATGTCATACTTTAAATGCTGACAACGGATTAGACTCGTGTAGAAAAATATTCTCTCTGCAGTTATGCGTGGTGTGTGTGTGACAGGTCCGGATACTGTCATCGCATCCGAAGACCATCTTGAAGTTCGGATAGAAGGGAACCCGCCTTGCAATGCCGAAGACAATCTGCGCGCCGGACTCCTCGTCATTGAAGCCAGGTTCAGGGGCTACTGAGGGAGTCCTAGACTAAGGGGTCCTCGGACATCCGGCCTGTTATCCATGGGCCGGACTGATGGGCTGTGAAGACATGAAGACCGAAGATTGTACCTGTGTCCGGATTGGACTCTCCTTGGCGTGGAATGCAAGCTTGGCGACCGACTATGAAGATTCCTTCTTATGTAACCGACTCTATGTAAACCCTAGATCCCCCCGGTATCTATATAAACCGGAGGGGTTAGTCCGGAAAGGATAGATACACATTACCATAGTCATACTGGTTAGACCTCTAGGGTTTGGCCATTACGATCTCGTGGTAGATCAACGCTTGTAACACTCATATTCATCAAGATCAATCAAGCAGGACATAGGGTATTATCTCCATAGAGAGGGCCCAAACCTGGGTAAACATTGTGTCCCCCGTCTCCTGTTACCATCGATCCTAGTAGCACAATTCGGGACACCCGACCCGAGATCTGCCGGTTTTGACACCGACAATGGTCATCTTGCCTGAAATCCCACAAGGAAGAAGAACGAGTCCACAAAGAAGACAAACGGACGTAGTCGAACGGATCCTCACAAACGCGACGTTACCGGAACTAACAAGAAGAAGCAACACCGGAAAGGAGCAAACAACATGGTAAACACACAAGCATAAACATGGCATCATGCACAATCAAGTATGTTGCATGTCCGCTTTAAAGAGGCAAGGCATGGCAAAGTGCAACAAATAATACTACAAATTAAGTGGAGCTCAATATGCAACAAGTTGCATATTGACGAAACACAACATTCGATTCTTTAGTTCACTCCTGGTTATGTACCCAACAACATTAAATGTTCTTAAACATGGAAAGAGGTGAGGCAAAAGTAAACTACACATTTTAGGAAATTTTAAGTGAGGCGGGAAACAACAAATAACCATTCCGGTAAATCCCCACATGTCATTTAGTAATTGAAGTAAACAACAATTTTAACAATTTTAAATGTTGTTATCATGATGCGGATGGCATATCCAAGTTTATGCAATTTTACAAAAATGTTGACATGAGCATATTATGAAGCATTTGTCACCGTGGTGGATAGAAAGGGTGCCACGGCGATGAATCCGAAAATGATGCCACGACAACATATCGGTTCCGGTAGTTCACGGAGATACCGGTGCAAAAGGTAGTGTGGTGGGACCGTGTCAAGCAAGGATGGTGGGGTGATCCCAGATGCCGGGTTCCCACGAGACGACGACAAGGAAACAAGGAACGTACAAGGATCAATTTGGACATGGTGCAAACACAGACATCTCATACAACACATCACAAGCATACGGTCCACGGGCGTCGTCTTGACGTTATACCTTTGAAGTGTGCATTTCTGGGGCGGTTCGAGTTTGTCGAGGGAAGTAGAGGAAGTAGTCGTTCCACGACGGTAGTGGAAGTAGTTGTACTATCAGTCTCCGATGGTAGTGGTACACATTTTCCTGTACATGTTCGGGTCAACGAGGCGGTACTTGGCACAACATAGGTTTCCGGGGTCGTCGAGTACACGTTCACATAGTAGTCGTACACGTCGATGTACATGGCGAGGAACTTACGTCCATGGTGCCTTGGGGTATCGCCGGGTGTATTCGTACACTTGGTGTCCTCGGGGTATCAGCGATAGTCGTACTCGAACCGGTACTTGGCGAATCCTGAACGGTCTTGGCAGTCTCCGGGGAAGGTGTTCATTCGTTTGACAGAGGGAAAAACAGCGGCAGCAGCAGGCACGGGGCTCGTTTGGTTCCCGGCCAGATATGGGCCGATGAAACTCCATGGGGCGGCAGCCATGGCGTCCCTGATAGGTGGGTAAGGAAGACCAAACAACGGGAGGAGCACGGGCGCGAGGAGGTGAAGCAGAGGACGTGGAGGTCGGAGGTGGTCCTCATCGATGCTGGAGGGACACAGGCGTGAGCTGGAGGTTGGGCGCGCGGCGCATGGTGGTGGAGGTCGCCAGCAGAGACGGACGACGAAGGGGGCGCGGAGGGCTGTGCTCTGCGCTAAAGAGACGGCTCGGAGCAGCGGGCTGTAGGTGGTCGCCGGCACGGGCGCCATGGCTGGAGAGCGAAGTCGGGGGCAGCGATAGAGGGTCCTCGCGGATCGAGGGAGGCACCAGGGAAGGGCTCGCCGGGTGGCACGCTAGCCGGCATGGGGCAAGGAGGCGCAGGCATGGCTCGCTGGCTGGAGCTTGCTAGTGGCGGAAGGTGGCCGGAGCGGGCAAGAGGTGGCTGCGGGTGTGAGAGATCGAGAGGGAGGAGGGGGTCGAGCGTACGGCGATGGGGATCGGGATCCTCCCTGGCGGCGTGAGGTGGGAGACGAGGGAGTGAGATGGGATCGGGGGGTGAGGGGGTCGGGGCTAGGGTTAGCTAGGTTTAGGTGGGCCTAGAGGGTCCGGGACTGAGCTGGCCTAGAGGACTGCAGGGAGGGATGGCTGCTGGGAGGCCCAGCTGGGCTGGACTGACTGCTGGTCTCTCTTCTCTCTCCCCCCCACTCTAAAGAAGGATAAATAAAAACATAACATATAGATATAAAGAAAAGAAAGGGAGGTTAGGGGAAGAAGTTGGACACGCGATAATTTTTCCGGACTCACAAAAATGTGCACAAGATTGCGAGATTTGAATTCAAACTCATTTGAATTTAAATTTGAATGGTTTGAACTAGGACAATATTTAGAAGAGACCAAAAATGATGAGGATTATTGGAGGAACCTTGATAAAAGTGATAAGAATTGCAGACAAGATTTGAAGGTTAAACTCGAAGTACAAAAGGCATGGGGAATATTTGCAAGTGTGTTTATGGGTGATTCCAAATTATTGGAATATTTATAATAGCTCCATAATTATTAGGAGGATATGTTATAAAGATAAATCACCATGTGAATTCCCTCGATTTAAATAGATCAAAAGATCTATGCCATTTATTTAGTTGAGCTTTAAAAAATTAAAAGACATGATGGCATGATGATATGATGTGATGCAAAATAAATAAATAAAGCATCCACAAATGAAACACACGGAGGTCACAAAAATATGGAAGTCTTCTGGAACGTCGGTCTCAGGGCGTCACATCCATGTTGGCGGCAACCGCCCAGGCCACAGAAGTTTCCGAGCTCAATCGAAAGCTTCAGGTGGCAAATGAGGAACTCGACCGCATCAACAAGCAGTTCGACAAAATGCAAGGTATGCGTATGATGTTTAAAAAGAAATTAATTTTCATGTTGGAAGTGATATGAAAATTTAGATGTTAACTCATAGAATGTTTTCTATGATCATAGTTGGCGCAGCCGAGGTTAAGACCCTCAAAGGCGCCCTAAGAAGGAAGCAGTGGCGAATAAGGCAGCCGTTGATAGAGCGACTGCTGAATTAGAGGCCGAACAAACTGCCTGCCACCAACACGAAGCTTGGGTGGCCAAAGTCGAGCATGAGCTTAAAGATGCCATCAACAAGCAAGAAACATTGGAGTAGAATACTTTAGCCCGGTCCTCCGAGCTTGCCAAGGCTCTCCAGGACGCCAAAGAGGCGCGGAGCCAGTCCCGGAGCGCTCGCAAAGAGATCCACCAGACGAGGCAGATAGCGGCTGGTAAGGCCTTTCTTTTGCAGAGTATCTTTGGAGGTCAGAGGTACGCTTTGCTCACACAAGTATGGAGTTTTCCAGACGCGTTTACGGATCTTCCGAAGAGTGTCGCTGATGCCGCACAGTTCTTTCGAGCCCAGGAGGGGAATTCGATTGAGAAGCTATTCTGGTCGCAATTTCTCGTGCCGGGACACCCGACGCCACTGAATGACCAACTGAAGCAACTGGTAGAGCTGCATAGGGTGGCAGGTTTGGCCATGAAGGATCTAGTAGTCCAACTCTGGCCGACCAAGCCGATCCTGAGCAGCTACTTCGGTTTGGTGGAGCAGCTTATCGACGTGCGGCCGCGAATTCTTGTTGTAACGCGCTCGACCTGCATAAAGGGTGCCCGGATGGCCTTCGCCCGCGTCAAAATGCAATGGGCGAAGATGAAGGCTACCAAAGTGGAAACCGCAGGCACGCCCCAGGGCAAAGATCATCGGAAGCCAGAGAGGTACTATGACGATGTCCTAGAAGGAGCCCGAGAGCTAGAGTGTCAATGTTCTAAGAACATAATATTTGATTAGATGTGTTCAGGTTGTGCAAATTATGTTATGAACCCATGCTGTTATATATCTATGTTTGTGCCTTCTATTCAAGCAATTTTTTCTCCTGTGCGGCCATTTATTGTTATATTTCTGAAAGTTGCCAGTCGTCGGCTTCATCCCCCATGTAGATGCTACAGGGGTGTTCGGCATAACACGTGACCACATTTTATCTAATATCTTGGTCCGTAAAGGAAGTGTCCGCGAGGTGAACCAGCCAATCGGACTATGCATATTTATTATTTTCACTTAGCCAGAGGAGTTTGACTGTGGAGCTAAGTACTAGCCCCTTGTGCGTGTGCGGCTATCCGGACTATAGTGCCTTTTCCACGTGGCTGGACAAAGACTAGTCCTTCCTATAACACAGGGTGAATCGCTAATGATTTGTAGTATAATACTAAGTCGCCGAATCACGGACCAGCTCTCGCCTATCATGGCAGTCAGTTTTTGGCTTTCTCTATTGAGGTACTTGCCCAGACGAACCAGAAATACAGTCGTAGTAGTTCTCCCTTTATTACCTTAGCTGAACGAGCGGGACGTAAGGTGGGAAGCACACGAGCCGAGCAACCCAACTATAGACCAAAGACATGATTTCGGAGCCGATGCATATAATGCAATATCAGGGATACCGAAGAGTTCAATATAGGTGTTCGGACATGAAATGTGCAGGGCTGAATACAACCCCCAGTGTTAAGGTCGGACTAAAGCACGTGTGGCAATCTGAAGTAGGTAGGGAATATAGATGATAATGAAATGACTTCCAAAATAATTGGTGATCAACTACTGTAACACCCCGGATGTAACTTTCCATAATTGTAACTCCAACCCTTGCCATTTCTTGCTATCTGATATGATATTTCCTTCATGGTTGGGTTTTTGTCTTTGTTTTGCATTTTGTTCATGTCATGCATTTCATCTCATGTCATCATGTGCATCTCATTTGCATTCGTGTTCGTCTCATGCATCCGAGCATTTCCCCGTTGTCCGTTTCGTAATACGACTGTCCCACTTGATCCCGTAGCACCCCTCTAATCTCGTTTCATGAGCGGGAGAAAAACATTCTCGGAATGGGTCGAGATTTGTCGAATGGCCTTGGTACATCACCGGTAGGCCGCCTGTCAAATTTCATTCCATTTGGAGGTCGTTTTGTGCCCCAATGGTTAACCGGGTAACCGTAAAAGCATCTCTCTATTTGTAGCCCAACCCCCCTGCAAAACAGCCCACTAGCCCATTGAAACCCCCTCCATACTCTCCTTCGTTGGATCACGATCGTCTGGGCGACAATCGCACCTCATTTGGACTCTGCTAGCTCCCCCTACCTATAAATGTGCCTCTCCCTCGAAATTCTCGCAGTCCAAATCCTAACCTTCTTCCCTCCGCGCCGCCAGACACATCTCCCCCACCGACAGACGTGTCCGCCGACCTCCTCCACTGTCACGTGTCAGCCCGTGGTTGGCCGAGCCACCCCCGCACCCACTTCGCCGTGCGGGCCCGCCGGGGCCCAAGTGGGTCCCTCCCAGCCCGAAGTGGTGCCCGCGCCGCCAAGTTGTCACCACCGCCAACGCTCTCCACCGCCGCCCATCGCGCTGCCATACCCCGCGCCTACCGCCGACCGCCAGCGCCGCGCACCTCGCCGTGTCCGCACCGGACGCCGCCTCCACCGCTCCTCCTCGTCGCCAGCTCGAGGTCCGGCCCCGGATCCGACGAACCCCCCAAGTCCGGCCATCTCCTTCAGCTCCAGTGAATCTCCGGCGACTACTCTGATCCGGCCTCGGTGTGAGTGCCCGAGCAAACCCTAGATCCGGAGGTTGACCCTGTTTCTTTCTCCGAGTCCCTAACATTTTGGTACCTTGTTCATCATGCCATATCTCCATGCTCATAACTCCGTATTGCGTGTATGATATCAAAATGTTCGTCTCATGATGCTCTTCATGTTAGTGTCATTTGCATGCATGTTACTGTCCATATTGATGCCCTAATAATCGTTGCAAAAGTGCTATATGATGTTGTGTACTGGAATTTAATAGAACTTGATGATTTGTCATTTTTTCATTGCATTTTGGGTGTGCATCCTATGATCATGATTTCTACATGTTTTATGAGCTCCATCATGCCATATTTACAATGGTGCAAACCTTGTAGTTTAATGAGCTATGTGGTGAATAGCACAAGCATGCAAAGTAGGCTTCATAATATTTTGCTAAGTCATGTCCTGTTACATTTTGATGCTATGTAAACTTGTTGCTACCATGAGATCCATGCACATTTTGATGTAGTTCAGTAAGAGTGTTTAGAAGATGTGGTATTGCTCTATCCATTCATGTGTTTGGTTGAAATTATGGAGTATTCTAGCTTGTTATTACCATGCTCTACTTTTACGAATTATTCTTCCTGGCAGATTGTTAACATGAGATTCAGTTTTGCCATGTGTTTTGCTAGTGAACCATGTATCCTATGTACTTGCTCTTGCCATGCTTAGCTTCATGTGTATGTCTAGTTACTGTTGGTTACCTAGTGATGCCATGAAATGCATTGTGGTGAGTGGCATGAGCTTGCAAAGTTTCTATCATGAATCTGTTTCTGCCATGCTCTGTTTTTCTTCCAAGTCTGAAACTGATCATATAACTTGCCATGTTTGCATGGGTGCCACCATATATTTCATGCATCTTTGGTTAACGTTCAGTAAGGGAGTTTTATTCTATGACTTTAGTACTACCATTCCATGCCTTTTTTGCCATGATATGTTCCTGTAGCATGTTGTTTGCTAGCTCTAAACATTGCTTCCTAAGGCTGTTTTGACATGTTTAGTATTTTCTCCAAGTCTATGAAGCTGATATCATTTGCATTTTTGCCATGCTATTTTGAGCTTGTTCTAGTGAGAACTAACAGGAGCTCAGT